AAAAACAAAAAACACTTACTGGGTTCTAATAAATTAAAAATTAAAAAATATAAAGATTTCTCCCCTATGATTTTGTGATAGAGCTTATCTTCTACATTACCCGAACCCTGTTGCCGTCAAGTCGATTCCAACTCATAGCAACCCTGTAGGGCAGAGTAGAACTGTCCCCATAGGGTTTCCGAGGAGCAGCTGGTGGATTCGAACTGCTGACATTTTGGTTAGCAGCCCAGCTCTTAACCGCTGTGCTACCAGGACCCCATCTTCTGGATTAGTGTATTTTTAATGAAACCCTTGTTTGTAAACAAGGGACATTTGCAGCAATGTGCCATGACGTCTTGGACGTCGTTTAAGGGAAAGACAAAACGTGTCTAAGTTTAACATTCTGTGTGTGTGTAGCCATCTGTGTGCACACTTGACATTTATAATCCAACCTCACGCATTCAGTCCCCTTGTTCCATTTTTTTTTAAAGATGCTAGTTTTCTTTTTTTTTTTTTAATTACTAGACATTATTTTCTAGAGCAATTTTAGGTGTAAGAAAAACCTAGCATAAAATCCAGAGAGTTCCCAAATATCCCCTCTGGCCGTTGGACACCGTTTTCTCCTATGATTAACATCTTGCACTTCTGTGATACATTTGTTACAGTTGATGAACAATTTTGATACATGGTTATTAACTTTGGTCCATAGTGTACGTTAGGATTCACTCTCTGTGTTACACAGCCCTGTGAGCTTTGACACATGTGTGATGTCATGTGTCCAGCATGCCAGTGTCATACAGAATGATTTCGCCGCCCTAAAAATGCCCTGTGTGTCACCTGTCTGCCCCTCTCTCCTCCCGCTGCATGCCTGCGACCGCTGACCTTGGCATGCCTACAGTTGACTTTTCCAGAGTGTCACGCACAGTAAAACCTGTGAGAGCCTGAACCTGTGTAAGGTGGGAACCGGTCAGAGAAGGAAACCTCAAATATTTTCCACTAAAAGGAGTAATAGAAAAGTACACCCTCTCAAAGGCAGACAACCTGCGAGACCCGGAAAAGCAAGGCAGTCCCATCAAATTGCAGCTCTCGCAGGTTTCACTGTACTTGGAATCCCACAGTGTGTAACCTGCAGTCTGGCTGGTTTCACTTGGCCATAAACATTTAAGTTTCCTCCATGTCCCTTCATGAGCTGGCAGCTCACTTCTCGGTCGGCTGAATAATGCTCCATGGTATGGATATATCACAGTTCGTTTATCCACCAACCCGCTGAAGGGCATGTTAGCTGCTCCAGTTGTTTGGTAATTATAAATAAAGCTGCTATAAGCGTTCGTGTGCAGGCTTTTGTGCCCCCAGGGGTTTGCCCTAAAGTGTTCTTAGCTTGTACGTTTAAATTAGCAAATGCAAATGGATTAGAATATGCTTTTATGCTTAGTTTGGCCACGCTGTGTAGGTCCTAAGCACTGTGAATAAGTACTTAGGTGTCTCGCTGCTGGATCGTAAGATGCGGGATTTAAAAAATAAAATCGTTGGGGATATTTAAACACATACCAGCGCACTGACAGGCATTGTCTGTGTGTCTTCCCCCAGGGATGACTATCATGAGGATGGATTCTGCCAGCCGTACAGAGGCATCGCCTGCGCGCGCTTCATCGGGAACCGGACCATTTACGTGGACTCCCTCCAGATGCAGGGGGAGATCGAGAACCGAATCACGGGTGGGTGCCGCGTGCCTTTGCTGTGAAATCAGGAGCTTCGCACAGCCCACCGTTGGTGTGCAGAAGGGAGCTGCTTTCCTGGGTTATCAATGGGT